GCCTTCTGACTTCCTTCTTTTCTTCTTCTCGGGCCCGATTAGTATAAACTTTATATGCCAATTCCACAAGTTCAGAAATCACCTTTCCAGCCCCCCCCTCAGTATTCTGTAACTTGGTCCTAATGTCATCTGCTGATTGCCCAATAAAAATCATGTTTACCATCCTCTGATTTTCCTCAGCCTCTGGGTCTAAGTCAGTGTATTGCCTAAATATTTGATAAATGCATTCTAGGAATTTCCTTGGATTTTCATCCTTTTTCTGTTGAATTTGGTAGACCTTTCCTAAGTTCTTAACCTTTTGGACCCCGTTTGAGTCCTAACAATACCAAGGTCCGATAGTTATATAACCAAGTGGACCGAGTTTCCCAATTTAGTTCCTCCACAGGGCATGTCCAGTCTGAATCAGTTGCATGATCCTTCTCCCGAGCCTTGTCCATGGTTCCCCTCACCATCCTCCTCTCCTCTGGAATTAACAAAATTTCGATCAGACTTTGTATGTCTGCCCAAGTAGGTTGGTGAGTTTGGAAGATGGACGCAAAAAGGGCATGCATCTAGTCTGGACTCTCTCTATAACTAGGAGTTTGGTTTTTCCAGTTGTATAGGCCAGCCGTTGAGAATGGGGTATAAAGCAATACCCTTCGTGGTTCCCCCTCCCCCTAATACAGTCTCCCTTAGGGATAATTGGAGTTCTGGCTTGACTGGTCCCTTGGACAGAGTGTGTAGTCCAGTCGATATTGAGAGAGCCGGACTTGTCTCTTCAGGCACCTCTTTGGTCTTTTTTCTCCTGGCCCCACCTACTGAGGCCGCTTGTCATTCTTGACTGATCTCTCTTTCTTATGCCTCCCTGGTCTCCCTACCCCTTCAGCCCCAGCCACTTCATGCCAAGGATATAAAGGTGGAGGACATTGGGGGGTAAGATTTCCTGGGGTCCATCCGTCCTCCGGATCTTCCATAAGGATTGTGGAAGGGGCACTAGGTTTCTTAGTTGTCCCCTTTTTCTTGTCACACATTACCAACCCACTACATCCACACTCTTTTAGTAATATAGGACTGTTGGCTAGTTTGGTAAATAGGTCCAAGTATTGCACTTTGGTGTCTCTCTCTCCTTTCTCCAATACCATCCTTAACTTGCTAATTAGATGACCATCTACTGACCATTGTGGGGGCCAGAGGTCACCTGGTCATAACAATTTTTCATGAGGCCCCACTGACATACAATACCTGGACAGGGCAATTTTTGTGCCAAATTCCCCTCCTCTTAGTTCCCAGAAATTTGTTAAAATACAACCAATGGGACTGTCCATGGGTAATGACTTCTGATGCCCTCCTTTTACTGTTTCCCCTTTAGATTTGTTGAGACTTTATCCCTTTGGGCCTTGCCTCCTGGAGTTTTATTACCCATCCTGGTGACTATTTTTCAAGGGTTTTCCTAGTAGTGTCATATTCCCTCCGCCTGAGACTTCACACCCTTAAACCCTTGGGGGCATCCCCCGAATAGTCTCACCTCATCCTGCAGATGGCCACCTCCTGCCACGTGACCTGAGGGAGACTGGTTTATTCCAATATTTTCCTCCATGATGATGCAAGAAAGAGAGTTGGGAGTCCACACCTTGATTTTTCCAGGCTTCGACCTTTGAGTCCCACACCGTCCAAGGACTTATTCCAGAGCCAAGTCCAAAGGCAGGCAGCTAATGGTCACACACTTTCTCTCTTTCTCTGTGCCAGAACAGCATGCATGCCCTGCCCAGAGACCCTTGCTATTTAACCTCCTGGGTCAGAACTCAGATGAGTTCATGAGAAGGGCGGCTACCTCTAGGGGGCGCATAGCTGAGGTACCTGGCCAGATATAATCTTTAGGAATCATTCACTCCTCTCTCAACCACCTACTTAAGCGATTTGGAGGCCTCTCAACCACCTACTTACGCGATTTGGAGGTCCCTGGGCAGTGGTGGATCCAAGTGAACTGCCTGCATTCTCCACCAAAACTGTTGTCCCAAAACTGGGCCTTAGCTTGGTGTCAAAGCCAATTGACCACCAAACACAAGGTGTGAAACAAGAATATACTTTTATTTTGGTACCAAGATATAAGGACCCTGGCTTTGAAAGCTGCCAAGGCCCTGATTAGTTTTCCAGCAGTTTTTATAGTCAAAGGTGAATCACATACACCCCTTTGTTCTCCCCCAATAATGCATGCATAACATATATTGGTTACCTGGATTGCAGCCCCCTAAACCTTTCTCGCTTGCTATGCAAAATAGCTAAATGTCACACCACCTGTTGCCCACCTCAGGTCACGGGTATCTTGCAAAGTTTCTAGTTTCATGTTCTAGCTACATGGTTTTGGGTTTTAGAATAGAATAGAGCTGGAAGAGACCTTGGAGGTCTTCTAATCCAGCCCCCTGCTCAAGTAGGCGGACCTATACCAAGGGTAGGCAACCTTGGCTCTTTTATGACTCGTGGACTTCAACTCCCAGAATTCCTGAGCCAGCATGGCTGGCTCAGGAATTCTGGGAGTTGAAGTCCACGAGTCATAAAAGAGCCAAGGTTGCCTACCCCTGACCTATACCATTTCAGACAAGTGACTGTCTAGCCTCTTCTTAAAAATCTCCAGTGATGGAGCGCCCACGATTTCTGGAGGCAAGCTGTTCCACTGATTAATTGTCCTTAGGAAGTTTCTTTTTAATTCCAGGTTGCTTCTCTCTTTGATCAGTTTCCAACCATTCTTTTTTTTTTCATCACTGCCTACCTCATTGATTTGTTTTCTTGGGATTTATGATTGGTTTTGGGTTCTAGAGATTGTAAAGATTGGTCACCCTTCCCCCTCAATTTTAGTTTAAAATTGATGAGTTGGGCCAGTCTTTTTCCAAGTACATTTTCCCGTTTTTGTGCAATGCAGCCCATCCCTTGCCAAGAGTCGTTTGCGTAGGAAATGCAATCCATTATCCAGGAAACCAAAGTTTTCTTGGTGACACCAACCCTTTAGCCAATGGTTTATTTCAGGGGTGTCAAACTGCCGGCCTGCAGGCTGGACACGTCATCCGGAAGCCACACCACCCCACTGCCGGCAATGGCAAAACCGTCCCGATACATTGCGCGACGTCATGAGTTTGACATGTCTGGTTTATTTCTAAAATTCTTTTTTCCCCTCAATGAGTGTTGGCCTTTCATTGGGAGTACTGATGAGAACACTACTTTTGCTCCTAGCTTCTTAACTTTATTGTCTAGTTGTTTGTAATCGCTCACTATTGTACTCCGGTTGTTTGTTGTGTCATTCGTCCCAATGTGGTAGAGGAGGAAGGGATAGTAATCTGTGGGCCTAATTATTTTGGTTAGGTTCTCAGCCCCATCTTTGATTTTTGCTCCAGGGAGACAGCATACTTCCCTGGATTGTATGTCTGGTCTGCAGATGGATGGTCCTGTTCCTTTGAGGATAGAATCTCCGATTACCAACGCCTTCCTTTTTGGGGGGCTGCAGTCTGGGGTGCTTGTAAATAAAGTATTTTTGTAAGTGAGCTAATCATGTAGCCAACATCCTGGCTAAGTGGTTTCTGACAGGTAAGTCTGCCTCGCTTCATTGCCCCTGCAGCCCCCCTCTTCCCACCGCAGCCCCCCTCGTAATGCTATCAAGTATTGGCAAGTTAACAAGCTTGTATTGGAAATCCCCTAGTTAGCAGAAAGAAATAAAAGTTGTTTAATTGTTTAAGAGTAAACGTTTCTCTCAGAATTCATATTCCTCACTCTCATGTTCATTACACCCACGCCTGGGTCCTAACTCCACATATGATCCTTCTAATCCCCAGGGCCTCATCTGTATGTATATTCCAGGGATGTCAAACTGCCAGCCCATGGGCTGGATGCGTTATGGCGAAACCACGCCCACCCCATTGCTGGCAATGGAAAAAAAGTTGTGATACGTCAGGTGATGTTGCGAGTTTGACACTCCTGGTATATTTTTTCGTCTGATCCTTGAAAAGCCGGTTGGGAAGGTTACAAATGGTGATCATCGTGCAACTGTCATAAATACATGCCAGTTGCCAAGTCCCTGAATTTTGATCACATGACCATGGGGATGCTGCAATGATTGTGTGAAAAATGGTCATGTCTCTTTTTCACTGCCATTATAACTTTGAAAGGTCAATAAATGAATGGTTGTAAATTGAGGTCTACCTGTAGCACAGTTTAACTGCACAGAATTTCCTGACTTGTGCGCTAATTAAGAATAAGAGAAATGTGAGTCCATCAGCATGGAACAAATTCTCCCAACACAGCAGAACAACCAGGTTACACCCAAACTGCTCTCTCCCTTTTCAGAATCCCTTTGCCATCGACCTGGACTCCTTCCCGTCAACCTTTGCTCCCCATCATCCAAACCCTTCCATCCATAATGCCTTCCCCTCATCATAGAGATAAAAAAATGTAAAAGTTTGCATTCTTAAACTGCACACTTTTCCGAGGTAAATTTTCATACGATTTGACCCTCCTTTCCGCAAGTTCTTCAAGCATGACTCCATCGACGCAGGATGTTTAAACTGGGATTATTACATTGTAGACATATTTTTCTACCTCCAGGCTCATTCCCACCACGTGACCTTTCCTTCCCCTTTTGAATCCCGTCCTTCTAGAACGTCACCCACTCCGTCCCGTTCTCTCGGCGGCCCCGGAGAGCGATGGGGGCGGGCAGAGGGGAAGGCGACCTTCTGGCGCGCTTTCCGCGAGGGAGGGGGCGGGGCCGCGGTTATTTGGTCGGCCTGTGGCGCGCGACCGCTCTCTCTTTCTCTCCCTCGCGTGGCTTCGTTCCCCCTCCTTCTTCCCGGCTCCGACTCGTCTCGGCCTTCTGTGCCCAGCCATGCCCAACATCGTGCTCTTCAGCGGGAGTTCCCATCAGGACTTGTCCCAACGCGTGGCTGATCGCTTGGGGCTGGATCTGGGGAAGGTGGTGACGAAGAAGTTCAGCAACCAGGAGACCAGGTGAGCCTAAGGTCGATGGGTCGGCCTGCCTCTGCCTCCCTTGGATGTTATCTCCGCGGTTCTCAGTGCCGTCCCCCGATAGGAATTGCTCCTTTGCACTCAGGATGTGGAAATTGGGGCGGCAGATGAAAGAAGAGTGGGTATGAACCTGTTAAGTGAATAGTGCGGCCAGGACAAGGATTTCTGGAAAGCGCAGCCTGCTCCAATCGCCTGTAAGTCTCGTCCCGTTCCTGCGTGGACAGGTCTTGATGGTGGACAAGACTACCATTAGTGTTACTTGTGATCCTTCTAATTGGGGGGAGGAGACTGCTGAATAAATAATCAGGGAGAACTTTATGAAATAAACATTGCATGCGTCCCGAAGAACACTGCTCTGGATAATTTTGCTGGCATTTATTTTAAAAAAAAAAAGTTCCTACTAGAGGCCTCTTTAATCCTTTTGCTTCCTGTATACACCAGTATGTTTAGTCTGGAAGCTGCTACCTACGTTATACATCAACAGACCTGCTTAACCACAAATTATAGCCTCGGTACACTATCTGGAATATTATCACCTTTTCAGTAGTTTTGGACAACAGTACTTTTGTATTGCTGGTATAATCTTTTTTTTAAAATGATCATATTGATACACAAAATGTCTAGGTAATCATCCAAGTGAATTATGTGCAAATTAGTTCTGAATTTAAAAATACTCCACTTATTGTCATATAATATTTCCAAGATGTACTTTTAAGGCTGTGTTTTGGTCACAAGTTGCAACTAATAACTTACCAAAACTGCTCATACTAATGATCCCCTCTACTCACTTAGCTTACATACACTTTATTACTAGCTTTAAACTGTTTTTCTCTTCGTGGTGACAGTCTTGTTTATGAAAAGGACTGAATAATGTTTAAAAAACCCTGTTGGTTTCATCATTACCTAACTTTCTTGCTGCTTCTCAGCAAATGTTCTGTTTTCCACTGATCATGTGACTAGGAAAAGTTTAGTGGAGTCATCAAGCAAAATTACAAATAATGTGAAAGTTTTTCCTTCTCAACTAATTTCACTTGGAAAAATCCACTTACAAGATTAAAAAAACATGCGTTGAACAATATTTAAAAATAGTTTAAAATTCACTAGATTTGTTGTACATTGTTTCTAAGTATAGGGAGTGGAACTGTAGTTCTTTATTTTTAAATATATGTGCTTAACATTTCCTCCTTGAACTGTTCTAAATTTACTCGGGAACATTTATTTGCTCCATATCCCATTATGTTGCCATCTGTGATCTAGCTGTGACCTCAAAAATGCTGGGGGTGTTCATTAATAATTGCATAGACAAAGCTTATTACATATGTTCCTCCACAGTAAAAGCAATCAAGAACAGTAACAGTGGTTCTTCTGAATAGCATGATAGTTGTTGTGAAAGCAAGTAACAGAATAAATAAAGCTATTTAATTAAATTAACATGAATATAGTTAAATAGGCTTATTTTTCTTAAGTTTAATCTATATGGTTATTATATTATCAGTCACATTAAGTCAAGAATTGTTCATTTAATTTATTTTTCACTTTTTGATTAATAAAAGCACTTACTCTGTATTATATTCATTATGTTGTCTCATAGTCATGGAGTAATAGAACTGAAAGAGACAATGAGAGTCAACTAATCCGATGTCCTATTCAGTACAGGATCTATCAGGAATGTTGGACAAATGACCAGACTTCGTTGAAGAACTCTAGGAAAGAATTCACCATTTCAAGAGCTCAATCTGTTCCAAAGGCTGGCATTGTACAGTCAAAAAGCTCCTCTTTATATCGAGCATAAACGTAATTCCTTGCAGTTTTAATCTATGTTCTGCAAGAAAATAAGCTTATTCCTTCTTTTATGTGTCATATCTTAGGATACTTAAATGCTATTATTATACTTGGAAACTTGAAAGAATAGGTTAGGGATAGATCATCATGGAGAAAATCTATATGGTCACTAGGAATTGAAAATGGCTGATGCCAATAGCCAGTTATATTTCCCTGTGGTCTCTTTTATAAGCTAGGGATACCCATTACTATTATTATAAAGAAATATGAGGACACAGAATATTTTGTGGAAAATAAATCTTTAAGAAAAGAATTGGATTTGGCATTCATTCTTCAGGTAATTCTTGAAGAGCTGAAGTAGCACAAAACCCCAAGGTTTTGTCAATTCACTTTTAGTCCTGGCTTACCAATTCCTTTTTATCTATTCCACTATTGGCACTTTAATTTTTCTGCCTCCATATGAATATTTTACATAAAATGCTTCTCTATTTTTGAATTCTTGTTTATTCTTTTAACTTACACTGCAAATTCACTATGTTATGCTACATTAGTCTATGCTTGATCTATTTAATTGTGTTTTTTTATTTATGCTTAATTTGAATGCTAGTCAACTTTGACAGATCCAAAAAGCTAAGTAGAATTCAATCTAGTTAGTACTTGAGTTGGAGAATATCGGCGGCAGCAGAGTAAACCAGAAAGTCCCCCCACCTCTCCAAAAATACCCAACACCATCGTGGAAGAAGATAATAACAAATCACTCTTATAATGTTATCAAGAATTTTTTTTTCATGGTTTGTCTTTTTATCTTCATTTTTTCCCCATGTGTCTTCTAAATAAAATTATTTTAAGAGAATACAGTTGGATTCTGTATTCAACTTCTTAAGAAAGTATGGAATCATATTTTATCATTAGAGTAATTCTGCAAGATAGCCAATAATCACAATAGGAAATGGAAGTTCTATCTGGAGCTGATTTCCTATATCCAAGCTCATCTCACCATCCTTGAGTTAATTTCAGTTATTAAGTAATAGGAAATGAAGTGATACTGATACATTGCTGATGTTTTTTTCTTTTTGTTACTATCTATAATTAGATTTTTATCTAATTATTACTGTTTATACTGTTTATAAGTAAAGCAAGGTGGTGAAAATACATAATACACTTCTCTCTTACTTCACAACAACAGTCCTGTGAGGTGGACTGAACTGAGACAGGGTAAGCGGCCCAAAGTCACCATATGTCACTGAGAGTGTGTGCGTGCACTCACACACACACACTGGGAAATTGATGTCAGTCTTTACTACTACCTGGCACATGCAGCAATAGATACGCACTGTTTTATATTTGTGTTGTGCTCTGCATTTAATATTCTGTATAGTTACTGAAAAATGCCTACACTTTCTTAGCTTAGCTGTGGATAGAAAACATTTGTAACTTGATGTTTTATTTTGTTTTGCTGATGGGCAAATATTATTAGCCCATCTCAAGTTTTATTTCTAGCCTAGCCTTCTCTAAACTGGTCCCCTCTAAACATGTTAAAACTGTAGCTTCCATAATTCTCATATAACATGACTGATAGTTGACCAGATCGACTGAAGTCAATTCTGTGATCTATAGACTCTTCATGTTTGGAAGGCATGCAGTCTAGGGAAGATCTTGCTGACTGCATTTGTTCTGTTCTTATCAGAACATTATTACATGAGTAGCATTATTACACAGTTTTGCCCTGTGCATTATTAGAAGTGAACAATTAACCAATTGGCTTAGTATTAAAGAGTACTAATCCTCTTCCTGAAATTCAGGCTATTTCCACACACCTCCAAGGAAAATGTACATTGATAAGGCTTGTCCTGAGGGTCAACAAACTTTTGTTCTTTTGGACCAGTTGAAATGAATTCCAGAATCAATATTTAGTCAGCATATTCAATCTCTTACCAGTCTCCTCCAAAATTATTGTTTCTTGCTAATTGTTAGGTGTGTCTCTTTTAACAGGCTTGAAAAGCGGTAATATTACCTGACTAGTAAAAATTGTCTGTGCTTTTTTTGTAAAAAAAAAAAAAAAAAAAAGTGCTGGAACTCACACACATCATACAACCTGCCTTGCCTACCCTACAAGGTTTATCTTTGTAGTTGAAAAAAACCCCTTCAATTTTTAGTGTATCTAAAAGACTAGGATTTTGTTCAAGATAAGTTAATACTATTAATGTTGCCAAGCACTGTGTGGCTTTAAATTACAAGAAGGCATTTTTTAAATCTTTTGGGACATTTACCACTGGCATACCCATTTAGTTTAATGAGCGGAAATGTCAGCTTTCTATGTGGAATGAAATTGGCCCAATAAAACAAAATTTAGTTGCTTGTAAAAGATTGAATTATTTTTAAGAAGTTGTCAAACAAGGTGGAAAAATTTACGTTTGGAGTTTAATATGGATATTGACTTGAAACAAATTAAAGTTGAAACTTTGTTAGTGAACAGATTAATTTTAATTTACCTTTAAATTAAATCCAATTTAATAAATAGATCTGATGAAACCTCATACTGTAGGTCTACCTTTACATCTGACCAATACATCATTAATATATATTATTAATAATAATATCTCCAAATCACAAGACATTGGCTTTATTCTTATTCTTCCCCTCTGCAGTTTGAATATAAAATATAAAAGACTAAAAAGAGATTTTCGTAGGCATCCCAGCCTTGGAACTACCCAAGGAACTGAAACAGCAAAGTTTCGCTGTTGGGCAAGCTTCCACGCCAGCTGCCTTTCTTTCCTCTCGCTTTGCCTCTTTTTAACCTCACATCACACCTTCTGTAAGGGAGGGCAAAAAGTTCACTCACCCTCTCGTGAAAGATGGCCTCCATGTTTATGTGTCTCCCACCACCACTATCAGCTTCCACACCACATGGTCTGACCCAGCCAATCAAGCCACACTCTGGCTATGGTGCTCTGGCACCTCATGGCTCCTCCTAGAGCCAGACAGCGCTGGAGGGGACCCTGCTCTCACCATACCGCCAGCGGGGCATTTTCAAAAACAAATGAGGATAGGAAGGGAAACAATAGGAAAAGAATGCAACTCTGGAAAATCCGTCGAAAAAAGGTTTTACCATAAATGGTAAAACTCTTTACCTTTACATTTCCAACATTCATTTGAAATACTTTTATGCATTTTTGATAACTTGCTGGTGTTAAGTACCAACAGTACATCATCTTGTAAAAGTTTTCTTTTAGATTATAATTTAATGTAATTTTTAATCCTTTATTCCACATATTTTCCCATTCAAGCATTATATTGTACCCCAAATTCCTTGCCCGCTGAATCATACAATGTTTTACTTGTTCATTTTCCAGATTTAAATTCAATAATATTTTGTAAACTTTTGTAGGCTTTCCAATTCATTTTTAACAAA